CTGAGGACAGGGGGGCCTGGGAGGCCCGGGAGGAGTGGGCCTGGTCTGGCGGCTGCCCTGTGTCCGGGGCCGATGGTTTCCGGGGAGGGGTCTGCGTGGGGCAGTGGGTGTCAGAGGGTGCAGGAGGGGAGGCCAGGGGTCCTGGGTGCTGAGGCGGCTGAGCCGGGGCTGGAGAGCATGGGGTGGGGAGGGGAAAGGTGCAGGAGGCGGGACCGCCACAGCCCCAGGGCACTGGGGCCTTCGTCCCCTCCCTTCCCCCATCCCCTCATTCTCAGCCCTGGACCGCGATTCTTCTGCCTCCTGTCTCTTCAGTCTTGCGCCTTATTAGGCTTTCAAACTGTAAGGAGTGTGTGTGTGTGTGTGTGTGTGTGTGTGTGTGTGTGTGTGTGTGTTTTGAATCTTCATCCAGGAGTCCCCCCTTATGTGGGGAGGATATTTCCAAGACCCCAGCGGATGCATGGAACCTGGGATAGCACCAAGCCCTATGTATACTGTTTTTTCTTATATATTTATATCTATGATAAAGTTTAATTTAAAAGTTAGGCAGGCACAGTAAGAGATGTACAACAATCTCTATATATAAAAGGCTAAGTGACCGTTTGACTAACCGACCGGCAGGTACATATGATGCGCACTGGCGATTTAAAAATAAATGTAGACTCCCGCATGTGCAATACATACAAAGCTCTCACTGGTGCCAAGTGCACGGCATGTTTCGATCTGTCATTGTTGATCGTGAATTTGGTTGTTCTTGTTGACATTCTAAAGCTGAAAGAAAGCAGTGTTGTCAACAATATGTCTGAAGACCAACTATTGGCACAACTGTCCCCGTCTGACACTGGCCGGCCATTTACATTAATTCAAAGACAGTTTCCCGTGATGCCAGCATTTGCGATGACTATGAATAAATCACAAGGACAAACTCTTGACAGAGTAGAAATATTCCTACCTGAACCTGTTTTTGGACATGGTCAGTTATTTGTTGCTTTCTCTCAAGTTTGAAGAATGTGTGATGTTAAAGTTGTAAATACTTCATCACAAGGGAAATGAGTCAAGCACTCTGAAAGTGTTTTTACTCTTAATGTGATATACAGGGAGATATTAGAATAAGTTTAATCAATTTATCAGTCATGTTGTTATTGTTTATTAATCTATTATTTTCATATACATTTGACTAATTTTCTTTCATCTCTGACACTTCTATTATAAAGGGCGAATAGCGATATTAAAATATTTCTTCCAATTAATTTCCTTTCAATGTGCATGAATCCGTGCACCAGGCCACTAGTAGCTAATAATAAAATAGACTGTAATAAAAGTTTTGTGAATTTGCTCTCATTACTGTACTGTACTCACCCTTCTTGTGAAGACAATAAAATGCCTACTTAGTGAAATGAGGTGAATGAGGTAGCATACAGCTGCTGTTGACCTTCTAACCATATGTCATGTCAGAAGGAGGATCGTCTGCTGCTGGTGGTCCTAGAGCTATGAGGATGTCATGATTGGCTGTTAGGAACAGATGATATGGATGGTTGGGAATTTTTAAATTCTCACCCTAGGATATATTTATATTTTTTAAAATATATTTTATTGATTTTTTACAGAGAGAAAGGGAGAGGTTATAGAGAGCTAGAAACATCAATGAGAGAGAAACATCGATTCAGCTGCCTCCTGCACACTCCCCACTGGGGATGTGCCCGAAACCGAGGTACATGCCCTTGACCGGAATCGAACCCAGGACCCTTCAGTCCCCAGGCTGAGCCAAACCGGTTAGGGCCCTAGGATATATTTTTATTTTTTTCCAGTGATATTTTTAGAGAGAGTGGAAAGGAGAGGATGGGGGAGGGGAGAGAGAGAGAGAAACATCGATGTGCATTGATTGGTTGGCTTGGGGAATCAAGCCTGTGACCCTTCGGTTCACAGCCGGTTCTCTAACCATTGAGCATCCAGACTTGTCATTTAGAATCTAAGCACTTAGGTCTTTCCCTCTCATTCTCCATTTTCCATTTTCAGCCGGCTGCATCTTCTACTCTTTTTGTCACTCTGGAGCCTCTATTCCAAACGGTAGACAGAAGAAACACAACCCTCTCAATTTCATCAGTAGATTTTTGGGGAAAAGAGTTTGAAAATAGAAAATTACTGTTTCTGGGTTATTACTAAAGTATTTAAAAATACTTTTATTAATGTTTAGAGGCTGGTTTATAAGACCAAGCAACACATATTTGTTATTCTAAAGCAATACTGTAGCGTAAGTGGCTGCATAGCATAACTAACTTTTCTTCCATTTCTTAAATGTATATAAGTAGGCTAATTATCAAGTCTAATTAAGGTGTCAAATCATGAAAGACTAGTATGTTTTAAATTCATTAACTAGTTTTGTTTTTTACTGTCATAGTGGAGAACTAGAACTGATCGAAAATTCAATTGTATTTGGGTATGCATGAGTGTCTTGAAATTTGTGTGATGAAAAGTATTTTGAAGGTAAAAATTTGAGATTAATAAATTTTTCCCATATTTAAGTCATTTTTATATATCCTGATAGTGAATATCATCTTATGCTATGAATTCACTCACCAACAGATGGCGCTAGCTCTCCTCAAGTAAGAGCTGCTCTGGTCTACTCTTTTTTTAAAGGTACCATGACCTTGAAGATGAAAAGTGATGTGGTTGTATAGAATGTATTGTAAGCATCCTTCTATTGCCCCTGCACTTTGGTTTATTAGACATCATTCCACACAACCCAGTTGGAGAATCTATGGGGTACCTTCTTATGAATTTGATTTCTTTCACTGTAGCTATAGCAAATAATTTTAAAGTTCATTTATATGGTAATAATGGATACTATTTAGCTTTTTCATTAAAGTTAGTTTAGAGAAGGCCTGTCACTAAAAATGGCATTGTAAAAAGGAGGAAAAAGAAATAAATTAAAAATGACTTTGGGTGTTGAGAATTTGGAGGTGGGTGTTTCTTCCTAACTTAATTTGACAACAGTTTAATGATGATGTACTGTTGTTAAACATAGCACTAGGAACTGGGAATGAAAAAAAGCTATGCATGCCTCCTAATTCTGAAGGACCTATCCCAACATTTCCCATATGTAAGTCATTTTTATATATGCTATGAGATTTTTGCTTATTCTTTAAATAAGCTCACTTTTACATTAAAAGAGCTTTTTAAAACCAAATATCATGTGGAAAAAGAACATATAAGTTCTGGCCAATTACTTTGATCCGTAAAGTTTCAAATCCTGAGACCTGCTCTTTCTTTTAAAGGGGAAATTACTGGGGTGGTAAACACACAATGCAATATACAGGTGATGTATGGTAGAATTGTATACATGAAATCAGTATAGTATAATTTTTTTAACCAATGTCATCCCAATGAATTCAATTTAAAAAAATGAAATTAATCACACAACAGGAAGCTACTAAAGCTATCCTAGGACCAAACTAAAACTTTCTCCCTAATGTAAAAGGGGAGTAACTTTTATACTATGTAATTCAATATTTAATGCTTCATCAGTGTAACATATAAAACCATGGATAGTACGATCATCAATGGTAAGTGCCCTGTACTTTTGGGAGACATTCTAGCTTGAAAGAGACATGCATGTTAACAAATCATTATTATACAGTTTCATTAGTGCTACATAAAGATATTTCAGAGTACTGCGTAGGGTATGATGGAAACAGATTAGTTTTCTATGGGAAAGGGAGACTGAAAGTCATTTTAGAGAAAATTGATATCTGGGTTATTACTAAAGTATTTAAAAATATTTTTATTAATGTTTAGAAAATTGAAGGATGGCTATAAATACCAAGAAATAGAAAAAACATGGCATTTGAGGGAAAGTGAACTAGATGAGAGAAGGCACAGAGTAGTGGAAGTAGTATGGTGTGCTGAACTATAGGGGAAGGAAGAATGAATGCTCACAGGGTTGGGATGGAGGTTAGGAGCTAAGTTTTGAGAGGCTCTATATGTATACCATGCCAAGGAGCTTTGGCTTAATTCTTTTGGTAATGGGACTCCATCAAAAGTGTTTAAGCAGGGTATTAGGAAGATCAGATCTGTGTTTTATAAGGATGATTTTGACAGAAATGCCAAAATGAATAGGAGGAAGTATGGTACAAGTAGAGACTGGTACAAGCAGATCAGTTCAAAGGTTCTTGTATGTGATATATTTTTCTCTTTAAAAAAATGTTTCTTAAGTCAGACAGAGTAAGACAACTACTGTATAATCGCACTGATATCTGGAATCTAGGGAATAAAAAGCCCTGGCCGGTGTGGCTCAGTTTGTTGGAGTGTCATCCATGCACTGGAAGGTCTCAGATTCAATTCCCAGTCAGGGCACATACCTAGGTCCAATCCCTGGTTGGAGCGAGTAAGGAAGGCAACAAATAAGATCCATGTATCTCTCTCACACCGATGTTTCTCTCTCTCTCTTTCTCTTTCTTCCTCCCTCTCTAAAATCAATAAAAAATAAAAAAACAAATTTTAAAAATTGAAGCTCATAGATGCAGAGAACTGGTGGTTGCCAGAGGTGAGGTAGGGGTGTGGTGAGAAGGAGAGGGGTGAGAAAAATGGGTGAAGCTGATCAGAAGATACAAACTTCCAATTATAAGAAAATAAATCCTGGGATATAATGTACAGTATGGTGACTATAGTTAACAATACCGTAATGTGTGATGACCCACGTCCTGCGTGATTCAGGGTTTGGGATCTGGAGAAGGGCCATGCGCAAATGACAGAGACGAGACAAGAAATAATAATTTGAAAATATTGGGGGCCAGGCGAGAAGCCCAACGCAAAGGGAAGGACTTCCCCTTGTGCCCAGGCTTTGCCAACCTTTTATTCAATTTTGGATACACATCTAGCCCTTAGTCAGACAGGCAATTGCAGTAACAGACTGTCTTAAAGGTCAGTAAATATTAGAAAGATTTACTCTGAAACTATTTGGTCAGGAAGTAGCTTGAGCCCCCATTGTCTGGACTGAACAATCGGTGCATAGCTCTGGCCATTGCCAGGGCTCAAGGTTCACCAGCATTCCTGGCTCCTTGTTTACACTTCTCTGATAGTGAAGACTATGGGTGGCTTCACACAGTAATGTGTAATTTAAAGGTGCCATAAGAGTAGAGCTTAAAAGTCCTCATCACAAGAAAACGAAAATGTGTAACTATGTGTGGTGATGAATTTTAACTATACTTACTGTGGTAATCATTTTGTAATATATACATATATCAAATTATTATTTTATACAGTGAGTCCTCACTTATATCCTTAGGTTCTGCAACTTTAAGTGAAACAACACATAACAAAAACCAGTTTCATCATAGGCTAATGGATATGAGCATCTCATTAACATTATAACAAGATGAAGTTGATTGAAACAAGGAAACGATGTTATTCCAGGACCTGCTCTATACTTAAAATTAATACAATGTTATATGTCAATTATATCTCAATTTTCAAAAAAAAAGAGGATATTTCTTACCTTTGTCTACTGAAACGGTTTAGAAACAATGACCAGTCCAGTAGCATTTGGCACCCTTAGAGCCTAGGCCAGGGGTGGGAAACCTTTTTGTGAGTGCGTGCCAAAACCAGCAAAATCTCTGACTCAAAATTCTTCTGCGTGCCAACCCTAATTTTTTGAGAACATGTTACGCCTACTTGATATCTCTTAAGGTGTACATATATGAAGAACCTTGAAGAAATAATAAAATTCATTCAAGCGACAAAAACACAGTATATGATGATGAAAAATACATTTATTTTTTAATGTATACATGTACACTGATAGTCCGACAGAAAACTTTATGACTCCGTTTGATATTATCAGTGGGACTTCTGCTGCTGCATCACTGATGACAGAGATTTTACATCAGGTTTATATTTCATGACCTTCAGAGAACACTGGTCGGATCTAGGAAGGCAGGGAGAGTTAAGGCAGAGGCATAGAAATTGCTCTTCCCCTCTCTCGTCAATCCATGTCTATGGTCTTTAAGATAACTTGTTATGTAAAATTATTTATTTATCTAAGATGCACCTACACTGAATTTATCTGAAAAATAAAAAAGTCAATATTAAGAAAAAAATTGTAAATGGAAGATTATAAGAGAGGGTTTCGCATGCCAGCAAAAGTTACTGCCAGGGGTTGCCCACCCCTGGCCTAGGCTATGGTCTCTAAATATCATTTTTTCCTAAAGGGAATCATGACTTTGGAAGAGTGAGTAAGAAATATCTTGTCATATCAGAAAGAAAGAAGCTATCAAAGGCTTCTGGAGTCATGTTAAAGGATCCAAAAGACAATACTGACTAAAGAGAAGACAATTGAGTATCAATAAGAATAATAAGTGCAATGAAGTAAAATATAAAATACTTTTAATTGCACAAATTCATAATTATACTAAAAAATAAACCTAGTTGATTACCTTTTGATCCTAACTTTTCTGTACAAACTTACACCTCAAGGTAACCCAAATGGTTGATGAGGGAAAATTTATTTCTAAAAGTATTTCAGTCAATAAAACAAAGAAGGAATGACCGAATTAGAATATTACAATTTTGTAACCTTGAATGAAATCATGGATCTAGGCAATGACCATAAATGGCTGCTAAATTATACAGAGAAACAAGCAGACTTTATGTGCCCTCCTGAATGAATTCCACATCAGTATACTCTTGCAAAAACACTGAGTATGGTTTAGCCTCTAGCTCAGTACTATCTAATAGAACTTCCTATGACAATGGAAATATTCTATGTCTGCACTGTCCAGTGCTGTAGCCACTAACTACATGTGATTATTTACATTTAAAGTAAAATTTTATGACTTAGTCACACTAGCCACATTTCAACTCCTCAGGAACCACATGTAGCTAGTAGCAGCACTATCAGCTTTCAGGAAATAAAGAGGACCTTTCATTCTCACTTTATTTACTATATCCATAGCCTCCAAAATATCCTCTTGTCCTCTTTTTTTTATTTTTAAATATATTTTATTGATTTTTTACAGAGAGGAAGGGAGAGGGATAGAGAGTTAGAAACATCAATGAGAGAGAGACATCGATCAGCTGCCTCTTGCACACCCCCTACTGGGGATGTGCCCGCAACCAAGGTACATGCCCTTGACCGGAATCGAACCTGGGACCCTTCAGTCCACAGGCCGACGCTCTATCCACTGAGCCAAACCGGTCAGGGCTCCTCTTGTCCTCTTTATTATTATTATTATTATTGTGATAAGAACACCCAAAATAAGATCTACTCTCTTAGCAATCTTTTAATATTGTCTACTATAGGCCCTATGCTGTACAGTAGATCTCTAGGACTTACTCATCTTGCAAAACTGAAACTTTATAACCAATGACTACTTCTCTCCAGCCATTGAACCAACAAACACTGCCCCATTTTTAATATAACTACCTGTCAGAGGCTCATTTTTGTCATATTAACAAACAGTCGACCCATGAACCAGGAGGTCGTGGTTCAATTCCCAGTCAGGGCACATGCCCTGTTGTGGGCTCAATCCCCAGTAGGGGGTGTGCAGGAGGCAGCCAATCAGTGATTCTCTCTCGTCATTGATGTTTCTATCTCTCTCTCCCTTCCTCTCTGAAATCAATAATAATAATTTTTAAAAGTACATATTTTTAAATGTTAACTGGTAAGAAACACTTAAGTTGGCTTTCCTATCTTTTCTGATCAGCTGGAAGTTTCCTCTTGTCTGCTCTTTCCTTATTTGTTTTGGTCTCACACACTGTAGCAAAACAAAAGGGGAAAGGCACTTTATGCACAAGACCTTCTGAATGTTGTAACAGTATTTCCCTCATCAGTTTTATTGGAAATTTCTAGTTTGCTTCCTGTTTCATCTTCCATCATGCCTCTAATGACTAGATGTTTATTAATTTTAGACCACACATTTTTAAAATTAATGACTTAATTACTACATCTCTTACAAAGCATCTTAAGTATTTTAAGCACCCTCTGGCCATCTATGCCATCCATTCCTGCTAGCAACCTTAAAAGATGTAGCACCAAAATGACCAAAGAAGTTTGAGAAGTGAATCCATAGTAAAGGTGATTATTAACAAGGTGTACACCTTGACAGAGGCATCTCTTAAAAGACCCTCAAACACATGATTGGTTTCAATATCTAAATGTATCAATAACGGCAGGGGAGCAATGAAAGTTCTCTTCGTTTTCCTGAAGCATAACCTCAGGAGAGAAATATTCTCATCTAGCACAAGCAAGGCTACGTCTTCACAGTGTTGTCATATACAAGCCCCAGGGAATCGGGGCAAAGACAAAGCCTGCCCCCCTGCAAGAACCTCACTGTCCTCATTTCCAGGAATGGCTGTGGTCAGCAGAGCAGCTCATGTCACTGCCAAGAGGGAGGGAAGCCAAAGGGAGCCTCAAGTACCTGAGTACCAGGGCATTCCAGGCTTTAAAATAGCTGCCTTCACCTCGTGGGCCATTGGAAGATATCTACACAGAACGTAGTAATAAAACCTTACACCAAGAAACACATCTCTGTCAGACATTTTTGCTCAATTGCTTTGTTATTGTTTTTTAATTTACAATATTATCTTAGTTTCAAGTGTAGAATATAGCGATTAGACATCTATGTAACTTATGAAGTGATCACCCTGGTAAGTCTAGTACCCATCTTACACCATACAGAATTATTACAATATTATTGACTATATTCCCTGTGCTGTATTCTTCATCCCTGTGCCTACTTTTATAACGGGCAACTTGTACTTGCTAGTCCCTTTCACCGTTTTTACCCATACCCCCAAACCCCCTTGTGATCTGGCAACCACCAGTTTGTTCTCTGTATCTATGAGCTTGTTTCTGTTTTGTTCATTTATTTTGAAATCATACGGTATTTGTCTTTCTCTACCTGACTTATTTATAATAGCCAAGATATGGAAGCAATCTAAGAGTCCAGTAATAGATGAATGAAGAAAGAAGATGTGGCACATATATACATACAAAAAGAATTAAATCAATCCCTTTGTTTTTATTTTTCAGAGTTTCTTCCTCAGCTTAAATTTTTCCTCCCTAGTCATTCACTCCCTGGGTGGTTTAATTCTCCCCTTGGAGAATTCATGCATAGTAGATAATGTGGAAACAATTTCTTTTTTTTAACATAAATTTTTATTGATTTCAGAGAGGAAGGGAGATGGAAAGAGATAGAAACATCAATGATGAGAGAGAATCATTGATTGGCTGCCTCCTGCACACCCACACTGGGGATCGAGCCCACAACCTGGGCATGTGCCCTGACCGGGAATCAAACCATGAATTCCTGGTTCATAGGACCACGCTCAGCCACTGAGCCACACTGGCATGGCAAAAACACAGTTTCTTTATCTCCTCCACTTTCCTTATCACTACTTCTAGTCTCTTAGATGGCGGGTGTCACCCCCTCTCCACATGACTATCACACATCCACCAATTCGCCCCTAACTGTCCCATTGCCCATATTTTGTTTGATGACTTTACCATCCACCCAGCTGTTCACACTAAAAACCTCAGTCATCTTTCCTCCTTTTCTCCATCACGTGCCCCCCTCCCCTCCCCGCAAACACATTCAATCAGGCATCAAGTCTGGTCACTTCTGCCTTCGGAATGTTTCTGGAATCCTAAGACTTTGCAGGAACCTTTTAGCTTGTCTCAGACCAAAATCTCTCTGTTTCTGATTCATCCTCCATGAGGCCATTAATTATTCTTCCAGAAGAAAAACCTGGTTTTACCTCTCCCAGGCTTAATAATATCCAATAGATAGCCATTGTCTAGATAAAATTTAATTCCTTAACAATGTGTACACAATTCCTCTATGTCCCTTCACCCCTGATCAAAATTCACTTTTCAACTAACCTACTCTCTTAGTTGGCTGCTTTCTGAAAAATGACGGCCAGTTGTTGTTTTTTTAACACCTTACCCCAGAAGTGATTTCTTAATGTGCTACCTAGTACCTGATATCAGTTAAAGAGATATATCTCTGGAGTTACCTATAAGTATTTTGGGTGCAGAAGGCTAGGGGGATGTTGTGAACAACCAAGATCCTAAGGTGACACTGTATTTTGCTTGCTCTGTGTGCAGGCAGTGGCAGCCCCCAAGTCATGCAGTGCCAGGGTATGGTTCTGGAGGAAGTTGTTCAGGATAAACATCTGCATTGTCTCCGTGGATGAAATAATTTTAAAACTTTATTCCTTCCCCACCCCAGCACCTTCTGTTTACCTTTGCTCTTCCCTAATTTTCTTCATTTTATTTTTCACTTGTCTCAAAATATTTTTAAAAATATTTTTATTGATTTCAGAGAGGAAGGGAGAGGGGGAGAGAGAGCTAGAAATATCAATGATGAGAATCACTGTTTGGCTGCCTCCTGCATGCTCCATTCTGAGGATTGAGCCCAAAACTAACTGTGACCTCCTGGTTCCCAGGTCGAAGCTCAACCACTGAGCCATGCCAGCCAGGCTCAAAGTATTTTTTTCTTCTCATTTAGGTCATGCTTTGCAAGTTTGTGTTGGGGATTTTATTATCTTATTTTATCCTAATTAAAAAACAAACAAACCACATTAGTCTGTTGTCTTGCCAAAGAATCTGAAGTCCAAAATAATATCCAGTATCATCTCATATATTTGGCTAGTATTTCAGTCAGAAATAATGTTGCTTCTCCAGAATAAAGAAATCTTTGATTTACTCTTCCCGCCAAAGCACTGGTGAATGAGAATGGACAGCAGTCCAAGGTTGACTCCAGGTCCCAGGGGCAAGGTTGATCCCCAGGTGGGGGGAGGAGGGTTGCACACAACTCCTGGCCAGGTTAGAATGTGCTTTCTTTAATTAGTACAAAACAGTTAAGGTTAGCAGAGCATGATTCATATTTCTTATAACTACGGCTAGTCCCCAATATTCTATTTCTGCCCCTAACACTATTAATAGGAATGGCATCAAGGACAATTTTCAGACTTTGTGCTTCGCTCTGGAGGAAAACAAGAGTATGGCTTCTTGAATTTCTTCATCGGGTAACGTAGAACCAGAACCCAGTTATGTGAAGATCAGCTGCACATATCATGTTACTTGATTTCAGCATCAAAGTTATAAACAAAACCAGTCATATGTTCTTTCAAAGCTATTGCTGATCAAAACAAACATCCAGATCAACAAAATAATATGAATAATTATGACCATAAATCTTCCTACTAACTCTCTGATTTGGGCTTTTAAAAAACTCATTTAAAATTCTTAGTTTTACTTTACTCACATAGACTACACTAGCTGTCTACATTCCAGATGCTATACTAGACACTTGCTCTACTCTTTAGTTTTTATTCTAATGAGAAAACTATACTTCATAGACAGTAGTTGCAGCTTTTAAATAACACAGCGACCTCAAGGGGAAGAAAGTGGAGGGTGGGAGGCAATACCGAAAACTTAAGTATATAGAATCTACAGACCAGTGTTCTTTGTATGGTTTTACGAACTAAAAACTTGGTATAAATGTTTATTTCAGGTACTGTTCTAGAAAGGCGGGTGGCATTTTTCAGGGGGTTACGTTCCACTTGGTCTGTCTCCGATGCCTGTTAACCAATAAAACCGGTCTCATTCCACTGCTGTGGGAAATAAGCAACAACGGAAAAGTAGTAATAACTTTGGAGTTAATTCGGTATCTGGACTGCTAAGGAGAAGGGAGCTGAGCTCCTGAACCCCTGTTCTTCCCAGCGCTCCCCGCCCCCGCCCCCGCCCCGGG